TCTACACGGACATCAAGAACCATTAACACCTTAATTGGTTGGTTGGTTCATAATGTGCGAGCCATACGATATCCCAATTCATACCATTTGCGTAAGAATTAAACTTTGTGAATGAAGTTAAGTTCCAACCTTTCTCTATGTATTTGGCTTGTGGAATTGGTCTGAAACAAAACGTTGACTTGGAGATCTATCAACGAGTGTCCAGGAAGATTAAAGTGTTCTCCAACAGGTTTTTGTGTGTTGCCTTTTTGGATATCTGATTTGTGTCCATTAATTCTTTCCCATAGAGATGCTCCAGTTTGGCCAATATACAGGCAGTCCCCAGGTTACGTACAAGATAGGGACTGTAGGTTTGTTCTTAAGTTGAATCTGTATGTAAGTCGGAACTGGCGTCCAGATTCAGCCGCTGCTGAAACTGACCTCCAGTTCTGACTTACATACAGATTCAACTTAAGAACAAACCTACAGTCCCTATCTTGTACGTAACCTGGGGACTGCCTGTATATTGGCCAAACTGGAGCATCTCTATGGGAAAGAATTAATGGACACAAATCAGATATCCAAAAAGGCAACACACAAAAACCTGTTGGAGAACACTTTAATCTTCCTGGACACTCGTTGATAGATCTCCAAGTCAACGTTTTGTTTCAGACCAATTCCACAAGCCAAATACATAGAGAAAGGTTGGAACTTAACTTCATTCACAAAGTTTAATTCTTACGCAAATGGTATGAATTGGGATATCGTATGGCTCGCACATTATGAACCAACCAACCAATTAAGGTGTTAATGGTTCTTGATGTCCGTGTAGAATCTGGTATTGGTCATCTCCCTTTCCAAGTGCAAACTAATGGTTCTTATCAGCCTCTTGTAATTATTTAGTCCTTAAGGTGCTACTAAACTATTTATTGTTTTTTAAGTTTTTCCTGTTACAGACTTACTCGGCTACTCCTCCGAAGAGCATGTACTCACTGTCCCTTTTTTCTTCCTCCCCTTTATTTTTTTTCCCTTCTCCCCGCCTCCCGCTTTCCCTTATTCATTCTTGGTTCTGGACTTCCAACACTTCTGTCATCTAAAGAAGTGGGTTATGCCCACGAAAGCTCACACTACCATCTACATGTTTTGTTAGTCTTTAAGATTAAACAATACTGTATAACAAGTATTGTATTTTAAATGCATAATGTACAGCTAATTGTAGGAGATCTATGTAATCTATAGTATAAACAACACTTCATAAAACACTTCAGCCTGAAACTGAGTCATTTCTGGAAGTTGCAATAGTGGAATAGAATGTGATTTTTCAGTATTTTTACCATCTATCAGTTAAATTAAATAAAATACAGGACTATGTAGCACTTTAAAGACTACATCAAAAGTGGGTCTGGCCCACGAAAGCTCATCATCTAATAAACCATCTTGTTAGTCTTTAAAGTGCTACATAGTCCTGTATTTTGTTTCAGCTACACCAGACTAACACGACTACATTTCTATCACTATCTTAAATTAAATAGAGAGACTAACTTGGTATATTTGAATAAGCTATTTCTGAAACAGTGGTGTGTGTATTTGATAACAATAGTGAAGTGCAGTAGATGGGCACAGTATTTACATAGCCACTCGAAGTGTACTTTGCTAGTCATTCCTCTGCAGGAAAGTGACGGCAGCACATGATAGGGATATATGAGGTCTTTGGCTGTAATAAGAAAAGTTTGTACTAGTTACTCTTCACAGATGAGACCCATACACAGCACCTATAAAACCCAATGTGATATAAAAGATAATTAGTGGGGCTGACGTTGAAGTAAGTCGCAGTAGATGAAAAAGCGAAAGTGAAAGTGATTACAGATAGAAACTAGTAGGAATTTAAGCCCAGACAAGACAAAGCATGAAGAAATATATGTTCCTGTTTATATCTGATTGGTGATTTAGGTTGAAAAATGGAGGTAATTGCAAGCATGCACAGCAAGCAAGGCCGGTGGAAAACCAAATAAGGTACAAAATTGCCTCTGTTTTAATATCTGTAAGGGGAGATCAAAATCTGCAATCATTTTTGTCTGAGAATTCAGGTTTGAATCTGGAAGACAAAAGAAGGAAATGTGAATGCAGAGACCATATTATTCAGCATGGGAGCAGAGACAAAATAAACAGGAGTCAGGTAGCACCTTGCTCTCTGTAGCAGTTTAAGAATAAAGGATAGTTTTATACCTTTAAAAATGAAACGATTTTAGTCTCAAATAATAAGAAACAAGTTGGGTGGCCTAAAGATTAGTTTCTGTATTTGGAGATGCAGTCTTTTGAACAAATAAAGATTTTTCGAAGGGACTAAACAAACAAATATATTTATTATGATTCCAGAGGGGCTTTTTAATTCAAAATTTAGTACACCTTTGGGATAAGGAGCCAATGATGTCTACAAAATATTTTACTAAAAACTTTTGTCTGGTAGAATTTTGAAGGAAAAATTGGATGTAAAGAGTAATCAAGGGAAGTAGATGAGAAGTAATCATTGAAGATATTTGTGTAACTTGGAGGGGGAGAATGTTTTCCCCTCTCAGAGCTCTTTTCCCTTTCAACATCAACTAATGCTAGCATCACTTTTAATCAGGCTTTTTCTAGTTACTCTCTTCTGCAAGATTGCTCTGATTGTGGGAGTGAAGCTAAAGCTGAGTGGTGCTGCTATTATTGCTTTCTGTTTTTCTCTTTGTTTGATATAAGGATGTGTTTTGTTTGCTTTAGGTTTGGTGTTGGCCGAGGGGGCAGTTTTGGATAGTTTAGGCCTTGCAGGTTGGGTCTTGCTGCCACTCCTTTGAATGCCCAGCCATGGGGTGCAGACACCATCCATCTCCCAGATTAGGAGGTTCTTGAGCTAGGTGATGATCGGCAGAGCTTCCATGAAGGAGTGTGCCCTGGTTAGGGGAAAATAGAGCACTTGTAAGAACAGAATGTATGCCTCTTGTATGAGCAAAGCTGTTTGTTAGCACACTGAACCTTGTTATTCTGATTGCTGTGTAATGAAACGCCTCTGTGTCCTTGTTTTGCCTCCCTCTACCTCAGCTGTTAGCATCACCATTTCTCATGTGTTCCCTTTCTCAGGGAGTTGAGATGCTGATCAGAGACTTTATAAGGCCAGTCCCATTAGAAGAATCCCTTGGGCTATCCCTGCACCCTGAACTCGAGATCGACGATATGCTGGTGGCTGAGGTGGTAGCTTGCTTCTCAGGGTGAGCCTGGCACAGTTCGTGAAGTGGTGCTCTGAGAAGATCCAGGAAGCCAATAGGAAGCATGCACCTTGAACCAAAGGTGAAAGTAAGCAGGTGTGCCCTGGTGTGCATCTCCAGCAAGAGCTGGTAGAGCTGTAGCAAAAGCCAGTAGGGGAGCTATTTAAAGAGCTGGCAGGGACCTGGGTTGCAATAGGAACCTGTAAGAAATTTTAAGTTACTTTCACCACTGCCTGGGACTGAGGCAACATCTATAAAGGCTCTGGGCACATCTGAATGATGAGTCATCTGAATGAAGCCCCATACTGACTAAAAATACTAACAGCAGGGGGAGCCCTGTGCTTTGAAAGTATTGCAAAGAGGTCAGTTTAGTCTCTGGAGTGGGTAAGCAGTGTTCTAGGAGCAACCCTAGCACATTCTAGTGTGCTGCTGAGGAAAGCATTTTGGTGGGATGGGAGGATTTCCAAACTGTCAGTATCAACCCAGTTCTTCCTTAATGCTGTCTGTGCCTGAGTCATGCTGACTCTGGCTGTGGGACCAATGGGGATGATGTCCTCTTGGACTATCTGCGCCCTGAACTCGAGATGCCATTAGCCTAATATGAGTTTATTGTCTGTTTGGTATATTGTGAGACATGAGCTATCTGACTTTGATAGGACAGAAAGTGATTACTCAAGTGCATGTTTCCTTAATCAGTAATAATGTCAGGGACCAGTGGCCATGTGGTTTATTTCCTGTTCAGTTGCCTTCCTCTACCTCAGCTATTAGCATCACCATTTCTCATGTGTTCCCTTTCTCAGGGAGTTGAGATGCTGACCAGAGACTTTACAAGGCCAGTCCCATTAGAAGAATCCCTTGGGCTATGAAGCTCCAGCAGGGCCTGAATTTCTTTCTCCTGCCTCTACTTCTTCTCTTCCACAATGAGTGGCTGATCTGGTGGACAATATAACTAGAGCCCTGGAAATCTGTGGATATCTGCTTTATATCCACCAAGCACTTTATAGAATTTCCATAAATAATAGCAGGTGAGAGAATGTATGTAATATAGCAAGGGAAGACAGATACCTATAGGTAAGGTTTGAAATTATTCCAGGTTGATGGAGAAATACACAGAAAGTCATTTTTGATAGCAGGTGCAGCAGAAATGACATCACTTGGAAAGGAGGAAACCATGTTGAATGAAATCCTGAAGATGTACAGCCTGCCAGGTTAGATGCTTGTACTAGGCAGGCAGGGTGGAGAACTAAGGGTTTGGTAGTCAGATTATTTAGAGCTCCTAGACCTGCATTATTAAATTCCTTTTGCAAGCTTTTTTGTTCAATCAGTGATTCCAGGCAGCTGTGAAAATTTGCTATGGCACATTACTTATGTTAACCAATAGCAATTCCTATTTAATGAAATGTGAACAGTACCTCTCAGCCTACATGCTAGATTGATGACTCCTCTTCTCTTTTGTGATGATTTTGACTGCACATTGGTAAGATAATTTCTCTATGTTTTTAAAATATTCAAGAAATGGCAGATTATAAATGCAACTGCTATTTTGTTTTTCTGGAGCAGTATTTTAGCTCACTGTTGAAAAGATGAAAGATGCTGTCATGATTATGAGGGTTAGCCAGCAGCCTGGGGATTAAGGAGTTAACTACACCTAGCCAGGTGGAGTGACCAGTATGAATGTAGGTGGGACTTTCAAACTGGGACAAAGGAATTTGGGTTTTTTCCTTTCTCCTTTTTATCTCTCTGGGTGAGTCCTCTGCAGCTACAGGGAGGGACAAGCATGTCTCTCCCTCTCCAAGAAACAATTCTTCACTTTCTGTAAGTAGGGCAAAGTTTAGGTAGTTTCGTTAGGCTTTATTGTTTTAAGGGTTGGGTATGGGATCTGACATCTGGCACTGCTTAACAGATGTTTGGCTTTTCTTTTTAACTAAGTTCTAGCCCATGGTGTAATTCCTCCATGAGTATATTTTGTTACCTTTCCATCTGATCCTTATGCTTGCAACAGGAATATTATTGTAATAATAAAAGTTTTCTCTTTTCTTTTTATTAACCAGGCATTGGTTACTGGTGAGTCCTGATTTTTATAATAGGGGTGAGATTTCCCAAACGATCTTTCCCCTGATTTCGTTATTAATATTTGGGTGGTGGCAGTGGAAGCTTTATTCCCAAAATCTAGGGTTTTGAGATTTTGGGGGAAGTTTTATACCAAAACCTGGTAGCTAAGGCTTTGGGGTACACTTGCTGGCCCCCACTTCTGCATTTATTGTGCCAGAGTGGGGAAGGAGCCATGACAGATGCATCTTCTAAAAATGGATAATTTTGAAGAATCTTTTAAATATATTAACCTGTTTTTAGGTTGGAGAAATAGATGAAGCAACTTAATAAAGTGCTAAATAATGGTGAAACATTTGAAACATTATTAGAGGCCTCTGAGGCACTTATCAAGGATAATGTTTATGAAAAGGAAAAATGTTGAGAACACAATGAAACATAAGCTAAAGAATATTGTATTTTTTTCACACTTTGGGATGCAAGCCACAATCCTGAAAAGATTTTTAGACAGGGAATACTTTTTACTAATCACACTAAAATGTGTTCCTTTTCTTTCTAGTACATTTCCTGTATTCTGTATTTTTTTTCAGATGGAATTTGAGAAACAGGTTTCCAGAGAATTTTATTTTTTTCTCATAACAATTAATTATTGCAATTGTTTAAACTATTTAATGGTGAGAAATTCTACAGGAGAAATGTCCATTCTTTCACATTCCATTGCCTATCCATAATTTGCATGTTACAGTAAATCTCCATTAGTCCAGCATCCAATGCTCCGGGACTCCTGATGGTCCGGCACCATCAGGAACCCGGAAGTGCTGGGGCAGCCTGACAGGCTTCTCCCATTCAGCTGCTGCTGAAACAGACCAGCAGCTGAATCGGGGAAACCGGGAGCAGAGCAGCTGGGGTGCTGCTGGGTTGGTCTCGTAGCGCTGTCCCTCGGGGCTGCGGGACCAACCCGGCAGCACCCCAACTGCTCTATTGCAGGCATCCCCCATTCCAGCTGGAGTGCTGCCGGGTAGGTCCCGTAGCACTGCCCCTCGGGGCTGCGGGGCCAACCC